CCCCAAAACCCCAAAACCCCAAAACCCCAAAACCCCTTGATCTACTAAAATCGATAAAAACCGGGAACTTCTGAATTTCTAATAATTAAATTTACTATGGAAACAACTGGCGATGCTGTAATGGCTCCCCCAGCTGCTGCAAAGCTAGTCATCAAGAGAGATGGCTCTAAGCAAGCATTTAGTAGAGACAAGCTTGAGAAGAGACTCGAAGCCATGTCATATGAGCTTGAAAAAGAATACGTTACTTTCAAGGATGTTCTTGACAAGGTTGAGAATGGCATCTATGAAGGTAAGTTATCCATTTCATTGTTGACAGAAATAAACTAATGTTTTATAGGTGTTACTACTCAGAAAATTGACGATCTCTTGGCTGAGACTTGTGCTTATATGACCATTGTTCACCCAGATTACTCCCAGCTAGCCTCAAGGATCTCAGTCAGTGCTCTACATAAAGAGACTCCTGATTCCTTCTTTGAAGCTATGAAAGCTTTGAAGGAGTATGTTGATAAAGCCGGAAGACCAGCTCCACTTATATCTGAAGATGTCTATGAAATCATTGAAGAGAACAAGGAGAAGATTGAAGAGCATATTGACTACAAGAGAGATCACACCTATGATTTCTTCGGATTCAAAACTCTTGAAAGATCTTACCTCCTAAAAATTGATGACAAGATTGTGGAAAGACCACAGACAATGCTGATGAGAGTCTCTATTGGTATCCACAAGAAGGATATTGAGTCTGCCTTTGAGACTTATGACTTGATGAGTAACAAATGGTTCACCCATGCTACTCCTACCTTGTTCAACTCAGGAACTCCAAAACCACAAATGAGTTCTTGCTTCTTGCTCGCAATGCGGGATGATTCTATAGATGGAATCTATGACACATTGAAGCAATGTGCTATTATCTCTAAGAATGCCGGAGGTATTGGACTTGCTGTTCACTGCATCAGATCGACCAATTCTTACATTAGAGGAACCAACGGACGTTCTAATGGATTGGTGCCCATGCTTCGAGTCTTCAATGATACTGCAAGATATGTTGACCAAGGAGGCGGTAAGAGAAAAGGCGCCTTCGCCATCTATCTCGAACCATGGCATGCAGATATCTATGAGTTCTTGAACCTCAAAAAGAACCATGGTAAAGATGAAAACAGAGCAAGAGACTTGTTCTACGCTATGTGGGTCTGAGACCTGTTCATGAAGAGAGTTGAAGAGGATGGCAACTGGACCCTCTTCTGTCCGAATGAGTGCCCTGGATTGTTTGAAAGTTGGGGAGAAGAATTTGAAAAATTGTATACTCAATATGAAGAAGAAGGTAAAGGAGTCAAGACTGTAAAGGCTCAACACCTCTGGAACGCAATTATTGAATCCCAGATCGAGACCGGTGTCCCATACATGCTCTATAAAGACTCTGCCAATAGGAAATCTAACCAGCAAAATCTTGGAACTATCAAGAGCTCAAACCTCTGCTGTGAAATTATGGAATACACAGATAAGGATCAGGTTGCTGTTTGTAATCTTGCATCTATTTCCTTGGCAAGGTTTGTCAATGAAGAAGGTGTGTTCGACTATGATAGGCTCCATGAAGTAACCAGGACCATCACTAAGAACTTGAATAGAGTTATTGATAATAACTATTACCCAGTTCCAGAGGCTGAATATTCAAACTTCAGAAACAGACCCATTGGAATTGGAGTTCAAGGTCTCGCTGATGCTTATCAAAAGATGAAAATCCCATTCGAAAGTGAAGATGCTACTGATGTCAACAAGAAGATATTCGAGACCATCTACCATGCTGCCATGACTATGTCCTTGGACTTAGCTAAGGAAGAAGGACATTATGAAACATTCCCAGGATCTCCAATTTCCCAGGGAAAATTCCAATTTGATCTTTGGGGTAAAGAGCCACATACTGATAGATACGACTGGGATGCTTTGAGAGAAGAAATCAAAGAGCATGGTGTAAGAAACTCCTTGTTGGTTGCTCCAATGCCAACAGCTAGTACTTCACAAGTCCTTGGAAATAATGAAAGTTTCGAACCATATACTTCCAACATATACACTAGAAGAGTCTTGGCTGGAGAATTCATCTGTGTCAACCAACACTTGGTCAAAGATTTGATCAAGGCTGGACTTTGGACTTGGGAAGTCAAGAATGCTTTGATGGGAAGAAATGGATCTCTTCAAGGTATTAAGGGAATTCCAGATGAGATTAAGAACTTATACAAGACAGTTTGGGAGATCCCTCAAAAGACTCTTCTTAACTTGGCTATTGACAGAGCTCCATACATCTGTCAGTCACAATCTTTGAATGTCTACATGGGTGAACCAACATTTGCTAAGATGAGTTCGATGCATTTCTATGCTTGGAAGAATGGTCTCAAGACTGGGCAATACTATCTAAGAAGTCAGGGTGCTGCTGATTCTATTAAATTCACTGTAAATGTTGAGTCTCTGATTAACTCTACTGATAAAGGAAACTCCGCTATTTTGCAAGTTCTTTCAAAGAACAATGAAGTCAAGAAGACCAAGAAAAAGATTAGAATCAAGAAGAAGAAGGGAGGCAAAGAGGAAGAATCTAAGCCAGTCTTCTGTCCCAGAAGGAAGAAAGGAGATGATGGACCTTGCATGTCCTGCAGTGGTTAGATTTCTCTGTATCTAATGCTAATTCAAATATAACAGTTCAATAATATTCTTGAATATTCAATAATATTCTTTAGAACGGGGTTTTGGGGTTTTGGGGTTTTGGGGTTTTGGGGTTTTGGGG